GAGGGCGGGGCGGGGCCGGCCGGGCTGAGCGCCCACTATGAGTCTCCGAACTCCAGCAAGGGCTTTCGTTCGGTCTCCCCTGCGGTCCTCCCTGGAGGGTGTGCACGCCCCACTTCGCCAGGGACCAGCGGAGCAGAGGTGAAGTTACACTGTCAAGATGTGCACCGCACCCCAAACCCATGACCAGGCCACGGTGCACTTGGACCACTTGTTGGTCCCGCTCCTGCCCCCTTTTTTGTTTTGTTTTTTGAGATAGAGTCTGACGATGTTGTTTTGGTTGGCTTTTAACTCATGTACAGACCACGCTGGGCTCGAACTCTTGGGCGATCCTGCTGCCTCAGCCTCCCCAATGCCTGGATGATGAGTCTGCGCCGCCACGCCTGGCTGCGTCCTGCCCCATGTTTTGTGGACCCGCACATCTGGTGGGCGATGGGGTTGATAAATGCGCTATAGCTCAGCCCTGGGCATCCAGTGCAAATTCAACCCAGCCCGTGGCAGCGGGCACCCAAATGGGCGGGAACCCTTGCGAATGGTTCGGAGCCTCAGCGCGGCCCAGGCATTGGGCGACACGTGGTGGCAGCGCCCCAGCCTAGCGCACACAGTGGCTTCAAATACTGCCACTTTCTGGCTGTGTGCTTGGACCAAATCACTTGATCCGTGGAGACCTCTCCTGCGCCACCCACAATATGGGAGGGTAATGTCACCCCAGAAGCCTGAGGAGGATTAAAGGAAGCAATGTCCCTAAGCCGCTAGAAGCCGACCACGTCCATCGCATGGGCTTCGGGGAAACAGCGGGCCCTGGGATGATCCAAGACCAAGGCTGTCAGGCCCTGTCCCACGTCATTCATCCCTGGGCAGCAGGATCAAGGGGGCCATCGAGTCCCCATCCTGCGCACCCCGAAAGTGCGTCCCCCTTGATAGCGGTGGATCCCAAAGGAAAGCAAATGTTGAAATATTCGGAAACTGGTATGTGCTCTGGGCTGACTTCTCTGCGTTTTTGTTGCGATTTTTTTTCTTGCTATTACAGGTGGTTCCTTAGAAACGCCCGACACTTCTCTGGTGCTTAACTTTTCGTAGGAGCCAAGTTCACAAACCGACCCAAAATAGGGTGTCCAGGGTTCGCGGCCCTCGGGCAGCCGCTGGCTCTCGGAGCCTTCGCCCAGGCGCGAAAGTCGCCGAGCCCGCGTAGACTGAGCCGCTTCATCCCTGCAGCCCTTCAGGATTGCCCGCGTCCACGCAGAAGCGAGCGGAGCGAGGGACGGGGCTGGAGACCGGATCGCGGCTCCCAGACCTCCTGCGCCTCCCGCCTCGCTGGGATTAAGGGACTAAATCCCTGACGCCGGGGACCAGGTCAAGGACAAGTTCTCCCCCGCCCGGTCCCCCCTCCTGGGCGGGGACTCGCCCCCCTTCCCGGATGAAAGGCACTAAAGCGCCGCGGAGGGGGGCGGCGGCCCGGCCCCTTGATGTTCCGGTTGAACAGGTGCTGGTGAAAAGGAGGCGGACCCGGCGGAAGAGTCGGCCGGGGGGCAGCGCGCGGGAGGGGGGCGCCCCCAGCCCAGCCCAACCCCCCACGCCCCTCCCCCCAGGAAGCGCTCCCGGCCGCCCGGGCTTTGAAGTGTCGCCGAAGCCCCCAGGGCCGCCTTCTCCCCTCCGCCACCCCACCTCCCGCTGGGGAGGAGGTGACCTTTGGTCCCCGCGGGCGCCGACCCCCCCTTTAGGAGTCTGCGGGGGTCAGATCTTGTCCCCTTGGCCCACGCCGGCCTTGGACGAGAAGCCTTCGAGAGGACCCCCAACGCCCGTAACCCCCAGACGCCGTTTCAGGGGCTCTAACCCTTCGGCCAGCGGTGTGGGTACCCTGTGCGCGCGCCTCAGGGCGGCCCGGAGCCGGAGCACAGCGGTCGCGGAGTCTCTAAGCGCCCGGCGGGGGGCGCAGCCGGGTCGGGGTAGGGGCGCTAAGCCTCCGCCGACCTGAGCCAAAGTGCGGGCGCGCGCGTCCCTGACCTCGACGGGGAGCGCCTCGAGGGCAGGAAGCTCCGCTCGGCTCTCCACGGTCCCGGTCGCTGGCGCGTACTAAGCGCTCGATAAACTCGCGTCGAACGAATCACTGCGTGTGACCCAGTGTCTGCTGTCCCAGGGCAGCGACCCAACAGCATCTGAGGACGCGCCACGGCGCGCGGTCCACGTCGCTCCAGTTCTTTTTTGCGCCCCTGTTCGTCATCCCTAATTTCTTCGCCGTTGTAAAACCGACTCAGAGACGAAGACCCGGCGGCGTGGGCGAGAGCCGGGGAGGGGGAGCCCGGGCCGCGAGACCAGGGGGCACAAGCCGTGGGGAGGGCCGGGGCGCGGAGACCGAAGCCCGAAAGCCGCGAGCGCCGCGGCGGAAAGCGCCCTACCCAGCCGGCTTTGTTCCCTGAACCTAAGACTTTACCCGGCGCCGGGCGCGCGCGGGGCGCGGGGGCGCGCGG